GGACGACCTGTCCTGCAAGAAGCTGGACAGGTGAAGCCTCACCCGCTTCGTGTTCACCCACCTCGCCTCCCCTGCCGTCCTTCCTGCCGCCTCTAACGACGTTTGTACGGCTGTACCTGTCTGAGATTTCTGCCCCTCTCAAGGTTTTGGGACAACCTGCCCAGAAGCCACCGCAGACGGCCGGGCGGGCCGGGCAGTCTCACCCAACTCGCTTCCTGGAGACTGGAAACAGGAGCAGCATCTTACAGTGGCTCCTTAAAAAACAATTTCTTTTCCAAATGTAAGAGGTGTGTGGTTGTAAGGAAACTACAACTCAAAACGCCTGTGCCACAGCCTCAGTTTTCGTTACTTTTTGTGGCAAGATATTTTAATAACTTCTTTGACAAACTCCTCTGGAAGAACTAAACTCCATTTAATCTGTCCCTGCATCTATTTGTCATATAATATTGACTGTGGGCAGTTCAGTTACAACGATCACTTTATATAGAAGTTGAATGACTACTTGCTTGGAATTTCAGTTGTCCATATATCCACTCAGATTAAAATAATCTAAATCAATAATAGTGAAAAAAATTACAGACAAAGCTATCACAAAGTAAATTATACCTTATCTGTTTATGTGATATGAATATCTCAAGGTTAATGGTGCATCCCTTAAAATTTATAAGTAATAATGAATAAAAAAGGCTAATTACTAGCTGCTAAAAGCCTCATGTGCAACTGCAAATGTAGGGGAAATACAGTCCCGAATTGAAAATGTTTACAGTCTAAAGCAATGGACAAAGCACAGGATCTATAAAACATAACAGCTTGGTGAGTATTTTTGTTCATGTGCATTTTCAATCTGTGCATATTAGAAGTGAAAAAGGGAGCAAGTAGAGGAGAGGTGGAAAAGTTGATTCACAGCTTTTCCCTCCTGTCACACGATCTGAATTTTGTAGACTTTGTGAGGACTGGTGCAGCGTAAGGGGTAAAACGAATGTTTAGATTTCAGCAAGGCATTTTGTCCTTGCAAGGGATGTTCAATTTTATTTTTTGCTCAGTGACCGCTTCACAATAAACCAGGAAGTGCTTTTGAGTTACCAGTGCAGAAGCTGACTGCAGAATTGCCAGGATCACAAGTGTTTCACTCAGCTGCACTCTAAACACTGTACGTAACGTTTCTGAAAATGTTCCCTTCTTGTTGTAGTTCAAATATTACCACTGCTATCCATCGTTGCGCTAAAGACCTTCTCATCCATGGGAAGGGTCCTGCCTAAAGAACGAACGTGTCTGCTGATAAGGAAGATTTCAGTATGCAGAGGCAGGTTTACAGCACTGCAAATGTATATAGGTTTGTAAATGGCCAAAAGTTTCAGCAGGGCAATTAAATAGAAGATCCCAGATTTATAAACTAAAACATTCCATAGCAGCCAAATAAGGCTTAAACAACTAAGAAAAGTATTAAATAGGAAAGTTTTGGAAAATGTAATTGCCCAAGTGTCCTGGAGTGCAAAGTGGTTTTCCTATTTAACCACTAACTCTTTCTGGTTTAAGCAGTCCATATAACAAATCCAGACTTATTAGGTCTTCAGCAAGCTAACAGTTTTTTTTATCTGACGTTTTCCCTTCTGAAGACAAAGAGATCCAGCACCGAGCACATCTTCAGCTGGCACAAAGCTAGAACAAAAATCCTAGAGCGTTCAGTTCAGTAAACTGAAGCTGGCAGCGCATCCCCATCCAGCCAGGAAGGTGAGATCCAGCAAGCACAAACTGCAAGAGCAGAGAGCACACAGACAACTGAGCTGGTCCAGGTACGGTGCAAAGTACCACAGGAATGGAAGTGGAGACTATCAGAACAGTTCACAACTAGCAGACACGTTGCTATATAATACTCCAAACGGCATTTATTTATGAATGAAATAACAATCTGTCACTGTAATTTGCCAGTTACCGTCTTAAAACCACCAGGAACACCAAGAAATCAGGTAGCCTTCTCCTGTAGGAAGACACATTTAACTACATCCTGTATCATCCCATTTTCAAGAGGCTCTTGATGTTGAAAATTTCTTAGGCAATCTTAGTGCTTCCTACAATTAACCGTTAGATGATCTCAGTAAGAGCAACTAAGTTTCTGTTCAATACAGTCTTACCTTTCATGTTAAGAAATTACATGAAGGTATCCTCATAACATTAATGAACTATTGTGATTAATGTGCTATGCTGAGAGTGTGAGGGATTGAAGAAGGTAACATTTGTTTCCATCTGTTCTTTAATCTGAGAAATGTATCTTGTTAAGCAGGTAGTCTTATCTTTCTTCAGGGCTTCCACCTATTACATCCATTAGCCCTTGTTTAGAAGGTGCTTGCATACTACATTTAGACACAAGTTGTGCAATTCGGACAGCAAGACCTGCCTGCAAACAAGTTTTCCCTCAAAAAAGCACCATTGCAGTATATTGTGATACCATTTTCACCACATTTACTTGATACAAAAATTTGTAACAAATCCCCAACCCTGACACAAAAAGCAGTTTACAAAGCAAGCTGCTGATTTTAGAAAGCCAGCTCAAAAAGAAGCAAAGCTAGTAGTTTTAAGCTATTTTAAGAAGCTAACTAGAAAAGACACTTAATACTGCTTTCTCTTTCAACCCTGACCTGTTCAGTTTCAGCCCTTGTTACAAGCACTAAAACTGAACACTGGCTGAAAATAAAACAATTTTTCATGTAATTTTGTAAACAACATCTTAATTTCATTAGTTTGAGGTTCTCCCTTGAACAGCCTATACAATCACTAATCACTACTAACACTGTACTTTTCAAGGATGATACACCAACTCATGGAAACTTGCATAGAAATTTATAGTAAAAAGTTAGTTTTACTTCAGGCTATTTATCAACTTGTTCATATATTGCAAAATGCATCCTTTTTTATTTAGTAAGGGACAATACAGTGTTAGAAATTAATGTTCCAGCTATTTTCTCTAAACTATTAACTTCATTCTGTTTTCTACATTCTATCTATACCAGTAGTGTGTATTTCAGTCTGAGAGCCATCTGATACTGATGTCTCCATCCCCCCCGGTAAGTGACAATGAAATAGTGGTGTACCTTTGCTGTGGCATTTCTCAGAGCTTGCTTGTAACCATCCCCTCCACCCCTTAAGTTTTGTGGGCCTCATTCAATTTTACTATATTTGGTGGGACGCAGGGAATCAGGATGCACCTGCAAACTTGCAGCACATGATACTTCCTTGAGTTGAAGATTCCAAGTTGGCACCGTTCGCAGAGAATGTTTCATGTAACAATAGGCGGCTGTTGATCTTTCCAGCTCAGTTTACACACAGCTAGATGTTCACAGACACATAAATAAATAGTACTCTCAAATAACCTGAAACTATTTGTATATTGTGAAAGGCAGGAGGAAATGGCTTGCATCTTCTGGAAATGAATAAAGAAACTGAAGTGAAAGATACTAGGAGATGTTTGCATAAACCTTTTCAGTAAATTCAAGTCATAGGTTTATACTTGTTTAGAAGTATTTAACCACAAATACCTGATATTAGACCATCACATGAATTTGTCACCATGAATGACCACTAAATGAATTTGTATCAAATGATACACAGTAATCATAGCTATCATGCTGACCCTTTGATTCAAAATTATTGTTTTAAAGAAGAAAGCACATGCCAGTAGTTTTAAACTGAACAGCAGATATCTTAGAGAGTTCTTTAACAGCAAAAAAATTCTGAGCCATGGAAGACCAGTAATAGCAAATGCTCCTTTTAACAGTTTAACCTTCCCCCAGATAACCTTTTATCTCTTCCTTCATGCTTTTCTTAAGAAACATGCCTTTTTTAAAAAGGCTCAAACTACCCAACAAGTTTATTTGAAAATGAAATGTCTGCCAAAAATTAGGCATTTGCAATGTTACTTCTGATATGAGCTAATATGTTTTAGAAGTAACACTTGTAGCTGAAGTTTCAGGAAAAATGTCAGTTTTCCCATGATTATATAACATTTGACCAGACAATTTCTGATTTGTTTGGTGATTTAAATACAACCACTACATTATGCTGACAAACATACAAAATGTAAGAGTAACTTGCACTTTAACTCATGGTAATAATATCAAGATTTTGAACAGCTACAAATGCATCTTCAGTGCCATACGAAGTTGAATTCAGTACCACCTAAATCCAAAGCAGCAGCTGATTAAAAAAGAAAACAGAAGTCAAATGATAAAGCTACATAGTTTAGTACATTAAAAAAAAAACAAGGACAATGATATTTGTATAAGGTTCCAAAAATATACAGATGGGGGAGAAAAAAAAATAATCACTGTACACAACTCTGAGGTTGTTAAAGTGACCAGAGAGACCGAACAGTGCAAGACATGCTTTTCCAGTTACAAGCTCAAAACAGAAGTGCAAAAGAAATTAAAGCTTTGTCTGAAGTGATTTACCTTTTAGGAAGAGGAAAGCTTAGAATATTGTCATCAGTGTTACAGAGAAATCTCCATCCATCCCACCCACCCCCCAACACATACACACAAAATAGTTTAAGTTTTTCCATAATAGCGCATTTCATTCAAATGGTGTCCCCCTGAGCTTGGTTATTGTAGGGACAATTTATCTGATACTTATTAGATGTTGGCCTATGAATCAAGTGATGCATAGGCAGCTTCTCAATTCTCCAGCTTTGGCTAACAATACCTGCAATTTACAGGCCGTGAAAGTGATAGATAGCCTGGGTTCAAACTCTCCTGCAACTAACTTCATAAGACCACCTCACTGGAAGCAAGCAGTTGTGCTGAAAGCAGATGCTAAGTTATGGCCAAGGAACAAAGAAATTGCTCTTTAGGTCTCTGTACCCTCTCCCAGAGTTAAGAACAATTTCAGGCAGGTGCTTTTTAGCAGGCTAAGCTGCACATGCATCTATCCATGCAAACATAGAATATGGCTCCCAAGACCTAGAACCAGGGTGTGTGCATGTGAAGACTGGATAGAAGGCCCTTCCTTGTAAGTTTACAAAAATATATAGCCAATACTGTAGCTTAAGAAGTCAGTTTTACTCGTTACAGAGATCTCCAAAAAGTATTAACTACTTTTCAGACATTCCAGACAAGGTCACTTGTAACAAAAAAGGTCAAGTTCTCTAAAACAAGATTTTATAAGTGATCTTTCCTTCAAGTGAACAGGACATCTGTTATTACGCTTAACTTTTTAGTCAGTTAAGACTGAATTTATTTAAGATTTTATGTGAACATATGCATAAACACAAATAAGTTTACTTTAAACACATCTGCACAGAAAAAAAAGAGATTAACCCTTCAAAACATAACAGAGCAGGTCTGGTTAGTATGTATCTATTGCAAATCTTAAAGATTCTGTGCATTAGGCCCACTCATACAGAAAGCAGAGGAAAAGTCTCAATGAAAGAAAATTACTGTTCAAGTCTAAGTGGTGTTTTGAAGAGCCAGCAGCCTAAGTGACACCATGAAGCTAGTCACAGTATCCGAACAAGCAGACCTGCTTGGGCTACTAAAGCAGTGTATCCTCCTGAAGGTGTCGTTTACTCCCAAGTTATTTTCTGTTCCGAAGGCGTTTAGATTTCCTAGGACAGTCTGTGGATTCAACCGCCTTCCTCCGTTTTCTAGGAGATTGTTCATTTGAGCCAGAACCTGAAGAATTTCCTACTGTACTCTCCATCACCTCTCGCAGCTTGCGTTCAAGCTCAGCCAATCGGGCATTCTGTTCACCTATGATTTGGGTTTGCTCTAGCAGTTTCTGATCTTGATCTTGGAGTTGTTTCTGTTGCTCTTGCACTTTGATGCGAAGCTCAGAGATTTCCCGCTTTAGCGCTGTCAAGCCTGTGCCATTTGCTTTCACTTGCTGCTGGAGTTTGGTGACTTCCTGTCTTGAAGGGTTCTGCTTGGAGAACAGCTGCATTGTTGTCAGTGCTGCAGAAGGCCCTGGAACTTCAGAGAAAACTGTGATTAATCCTCTAAAACTTTAAGACAAAGGTAGAAATTGTGTCCCAGTTTCTGTATTTTCCTTATCCCTACTCCCCAAACAGGAATCTGAATGTTGATTGCAAGTTAATGTAAACGGTTGTAAATCTGTTTACGTGTTCAAGTGTTTAACAAGAGCATATGGTATCTCAGAGCACAACTAGTTTAATTTAAAACACCTAGATTTTCACCAGTCTGGAAAAACAGCTCATAATTCATTTTCTTTATATCAGCCCCCCTCCTTTTGCTGTATCAGAAATTAAATAGAGACATTATGTTGTCATCTAGTCTTAGTGTCACAGATGTTAAGTCAAAAACCCACAATATGTGTATAAATTACTTATTACAGAATAGTTAAATAAATATATTTCAATAGAGCAGTAGAATTCTGCTGTCTTAGTTGTAAACAGCTAAAGTTCTAAAATTTTGTGGTTTGGGGCTTAACAAGATATTTCAGTTTAACTTACATTTTAGAAGAAAGGAATTTATTTTCCATGCTTCTTTAGAATCACTCTTCCTAAGTACTAAAACCATACTGGAATTTGAGCTTGGGACTGTTGATTCTAATAAAGATCCTGCAAATCAAGGAGACTAACAGCTACTGTATAATTTCTTTCACTTGTTCTATCATAAAAGATATCTATCACTTGTTCTATCATAAAAGATATCTATCACTTGTTCTATCATAAAAGATATCTATCACTTGTTCTATCATAAAAGATATCTATCACTTGTTCTATCATTTTACTCTTCTAGCATTCTGTGCAAGTAAGATGCAACTTTTAAGTGCTACAGTGATAGAATAGTCTGGAACAGCCTAGAACAGTCCTCCTCCTCCTCTTTTGTTTTTCTTTTAAGATGCCAGCATAGCTACAGTTATGTGACACTAAGAGGGTTGCCATTAGATACGTTATGCTCCTCCCTCAACACAAGAACGGTATTTTTATGCCACATAAAGCCTTGGCCTCAAAAAGCCAGTTGACATCAACTATGGTTTTGGGCAATTCCTCATCTGAGAGACTCAATGGAATTGAGGTATAATTAACAGGATACAATTAAGAGGTGGTATTACACACTTATGGCTAAAAGGATGGACAGGACATACCAGAAACAAGCAGCAGCTTGTACAGTTAGGCCTATCTTTTTTGCTTAAGGTAATAAAAATGTCTAAAAATCAATTACAAGTTATCCTTTCAGAGTGTTAATTTCACACTTTAAGAAGTGTGAAGATGTTCAGCACAGGGGAAACACTACAGTTCTACTAACTTTTTGCTTTTGGCCATTATGAGGCAACTACCTTAGACTTTGGTTCACAAAAGTTCTGGAAAGTCTGACAGATTATACGAAGGACCAGTTTAATTGCTTTTTAATAGACTGTTATTTTAATTGCCTTTTCACTATTACCTATAAGTATTTTGCTTGTTAGTATGTACATTAGTGCCCCAGGAAAGTAAAAAAACACATACAAGTATGTTCTAGCTCTCTGTGCACTACAACAGCTTAGGCTAATTCATTTGCTGATCGTCCTAAAAATGAAAGGCATCAAGTCGTCATCTCATGTGCCAAATTTCAACCAAGTGCTATGATAAAGTCTCATTCATTGGTGGCACAAAAGCGTTTGTTTAATGAATACACACTATGCATAATTCTAACATACATTCAAGTGACTGTTCTTTCGGCAGTACAAAGGCTCCTTAAATTTCAAAGCAAATGAATTTCAGTTAGCATTCTTAAGAAACAAGTATCATCAGTATTTATGTAATAAAGCTCACATTTAAAGGAGGGAGCTTTAAAAAGATACAGTGCTGTGGATTTTTACATAAAAACTAAATAAAACTTAACTATACATTGGAATTAATACCTGGGGCAGTTCCTATCAGACGTCCCGATACATCTGACCCAGGCATCTTTCTTTTCAGTATTGGAACAATCTTCTCATCAAAATATTCCATAGCCATGGAGGAAATGTCCCTTAGTTCTTGAAGAACTTCATGAGCTCTCTGAGGAGCTCTTGTAGAGTTTACATACCTTAGCACACGATAAATTTCATCTATTACCTAAAACATTTAAGAAGAATTAGGATTTTCTGATAAAGGCAAGATTACTTCAGATCATTCTAGAAGTGCTGGCATACTCAGGGGCTTTTACTAAAGAACTATTGCATACCACTGTGTGCTCTAGTTCTAGATCAGCTTTTTGAAATGAAGTGCTGTTTGAGATATATCAGAGAAGCTGTTCACTTGATCTATCACAACAACTCTCTTCAGACTCATGAAATGATGCTCACTGTGTGAAATTTTATTTTATTACATCCATACTCAACTTTAAGTTATATAATCTATACTCAGCAGAGGATAATTATGTCTCTTTGGAGAACCTGAAGCAAGATACTCCAAACCCACACTCCCCCAGCCAGTTACGAGGCATACGAAACACATGAATGGAACAGCAAGAATTATCCTTATATCAGTCTGAAGAGCTGCAACTATTTACTTGAGCCCACTTGCAAACACACAAAATACTGCAAATTCAGATTAAGTCCAAAATATAATAATTTATAAAACATCAATCCACTACCGGCAGAGAACATAAGCAGCCTCTTAACAGGTTTGACAAACAAGCCCTTTGGTTAGGAGAGATACAGAGAAATGAAAGGTGTCTCACTAATCTATGAATTATAAGTCTGAGGCAGGTCAAGATTGGGAGTGCTGGTCTCTTATTACCGAAACTACTGACACTGGTATTTTGCACAGGATTAAGAACGGTAAGAATAAATCTCCTGAAGAACACAGATCATAAGGAGGTAGAACCATAGGTAAGATAACACAGTTGCATCTTGTATTTTAATAAAGGAAGCTTTGCCAAAAAAGTTGCAAAACCTAGACAAGACTAAAGTGTTTCATCATGCAACAAGCTTACAAAAACTGCTCTAATTTTATCCGCCTTGTATCCTGTTAGCAACATCATCTTCAAAGCATTCTCCTGCCATCCTCAATATAAAATCTTGCAGCCCCGCTCTGCTATTACCAGGAACCCTTACACAGGATGCCGAACCCTAAATTGGGATTCACATATTCTAACACAAATTCACTTCCTTACAATTCTGTGGCAGCTTCATTCAAATGAAATTTCCTGATGGGAGCAGGACAGGTCGGGGGGAAACCACAGACTGTAAGTGAACACTAAGCCTTGAATTTGACCAAAATAGGATTTTTTGGTGAATTGGTAACTGTGCTGAGAGCGCATCAGTGCTAGCAAGCTTGTCCACTAAGTAAATAATTTTTAAGAACTTTTTAGCTTTTACATCAGAATTCAAATAAGGTCCTTAGGACTCAGTGCCCACAAGGAAAATGGCTGCCAAGCTCATTTGCCCAACTCCTGCACACCCCAGGACTAGATTGAGTATTGCCTTTCCATCTATACTTCAAAAAAGTATGGCATTATTTAAGTGTTCCATTTACTATGTGAGTATCAAGGACTTAAGCTTATTTGACTTCATGTTATATTACATTTTTTAAAAACACATGGTATATATAAAAATATAAGGCCAAATAAACAGAAATAAACTATAATGACTTAAAATTAATTAAATATCAAGTCAACAAGACTATATAGAAATCAAGTTACCACTTCAAGATAAAAACACATCTCATGCTCACAGCCTATCTTACTGTACTGAATGTAAAAATGCCTGCCATGTTTCACCTGAATCCAACAGCTAACTTTTCCATTTATCCCAGTGCGATTCAGTTATCTGCCCATGAAAAATTAATACTAATACATACAAACCTCAAATGGAAAGATCAATGAATAGAGCATTAAGCTAATGTTCACAGATCTTGTTTCAACCCTGAGCTGTACCAGTCTTCCTCAGATCATAATTTTGTCAATTCCCCTATGTAATTCTGTTTTCACAGCTTATAAAACAGTAGTATCTCTGATGTACATCTTGCTTGCATAATTTATATTTTATGTTGGGGTAGCATTCTGAAACACCAGAATTGTTCAGTAGTATTAATATTTAACACATTAGCTACATTTAAAACTAATTCCATTCCATCTACTGTATGAAAATACCCCATCCACTGTAATACTGAACAGTGTTTCCACACACTAAATATTTTAATTCAATTAATCTGAAGTACTTAAACCCTTAAGAAAGGTGCCTAAAATTTTCCCGATTGACTGAGTGCTTAGTGTTATACATAGTCTAAATTACTGCATCTTCTGATGACCTGGCCTCCAGCTGTTTTGTACCATTAAAATTCAGAATTAAACCCTACATATCATGTGTTTCTTGTAAAAAGTTGTATAGGCTGAATATGCCACAAGTTTGGTGTCAGAATTAAAAAAAGTCTAAGGGAAAATGGAAATCAATTAATATTTAGACAGTCTCATTCACTCATTTCAGACTGCCTGTTATAGCAGGGTATTGGCTCATGACTGCCTTTGCAAGTATCTGAAACAGTTTCAGTATCTAGATACATCATATAAATTTGTCCCAGGTTAAGTTACACAATCATGTTTTTTAAACACAGATATACAATCACATAATATAGTCTACATTTTACCTTTCCAGGTATGAAGCAACAGAGATTGGAATCCACATACTTCATGAAAGTCATATTTAATAGAGAGAGTCTCGTTTCTACAGCAGCAAGGATGTCTGCATGACGAGCTAATGAATGGTTTCTTCTTTCTGACTCCCGTCTAGAAGACAGACCATAGTGACTGATTTAGCAATGAGTCAACAAAATGAAACTGTAACAACCGCTGGAGTTAATTTCACCCTTAAAGCCCTCTGAGGTTTGAAAATGTAACCACTAACATTATTTCTGTCTTTATGGAAGAAAAAGGATACAGATTGAGAACCAGCTAGTAATAGCATACTACACTTTCTCAGACAAAATTTGTTCTCTAAGTAATTATACATCTGATGTGATCCACAAACTCTATATGTAATTTAGGACTATTTAAAAACAAGCTTTCAGTGCAGTAGCAGTAGACACTGAGTCAGCATGAATATTTTTATCCCCCTATATTCCTACAGTTAGTACTTCAATGCAATTGGCATAAATTTAATATATTATTAGTGCTTGCTACAAAGTTTAGGTTGAGATATAAACTCTTTTGACAAAGGATCTCTACAGTAAGTAGCATTTAGTTTCTTCACTCTGACTGGGAAATCTGATAGGACACAGCAGCAGCTGCACTTACTCACTGGAAAGAGGAGAAAAGACATTGCTTTAGTGAGAAACTAGTTCCCAGTAATGCTCAGATGTCAAACCCCCCTCCCTTTCCCCTGTGTAATCCTTGGCACTGAAAAACCTTGCTTTTTTTTAAGCAGAGTCGTAGATATATCATCAGTGAAGGCAGTCGGTCTTGAAAAGAAATGGCATTTATTCATTCCTAGGAGTCCTTCCTTGATTTGCCAGAAGAGTTGAGTAATACAGGACCCACTCTTCTTTTCTCTGTTTAAAATACCAGAGACACTTTCCAATATTCCAGTTCCTAGTATACAACAATTTACATTCATCCACACCATTATTTGGTAATTAGATCTTAGGTTCAAGGTGCTTTTCGGACAAAAATTAAATCAAAACAAATGTGATTCAGATTTTCAAGACATAAAAGTTGAATTAGCTAGCAAGAAAATCCTTTTCAATATTCTGCTTAAAAGAATCTAGCACATTTAAGTTTAGCTACAGTTTTAACCGGTACATACCTTGGAAGCTGAGCTTTAACTTGCTTTTGACACAAGTTGTGGTATCTTTCCACTTTCAGAAATCCCTGATTTAACATTCGCTGGCAAACCAAGTCCATTCGCTTACAAACCTGTATTTAAGTAAAAAGGAAAACTTAAGGCTCAATTAAGGCCACAAGTCACTTTTATTATCATCTTAACGATATTTGCCAGGTAGTAAAAGATTCTCTTATCAGTTTTTGCTCCACTTCAAGAAGCAGAAACTGCAGCTGAGATTAAGGCATCACAGTCTCTAACAATGGTCATGGTACTCCAAAAAGGAGCAGCTATGTTCCACACATTTCACAAATTAATCTCCTGATACTGCCTAACAAGAAACAGTAGGCTTAATTCCACCCATGTATAAGCAGATACAATTTCCTCTGATTTTAATGGAAGTTGCAAATGCCTGTGCCTGGCTTTTAACTTGGCCTCCAAAGTGATTCTGGTAGATCAAGTTAGTATTTTGTAGTCTCAAAATGATGCCTTCTAAAAACAAGAAATCATAATGGTTTTCCTTCAGCATTTAAGGCTTATGTTTTTGAAGATGGACAAAATTAAATTAAAAAACTCATGCAATGCAGTGCATGGGACGCAAGATTCCTTTTCATATAAAAAAGGTCTTTTATGTTTAACAGATTCCTTTATTTGCAATGTTGGATACCAATAGCCTCATTTTTTTCACGGGTTTAGGCAGAAAGGACATTAATAGCTGCAGAAGATATAATAAGCTGCTTAATTTAAACATTCACAAAGTAACCAGTTACAAGACAAAGCCAACTTGTACAAAATTTTAAAGCAGTTCCAATTCAGTTCTGAAGATGCAAAACCCTAATGAACCAACTGTCCTTTGAAATTGTTTTGAAATTATTTTTTTCTACTGAAGTGCACAACTCCCACTGTGACCACACTTCCCAATAGATTTAACTTTCAGGTTTTGTTGTTTTTGTTTGTTTGTTTTTTAAATGAACACTCCTTCCCCTCCATACACTACTTATTTCATAACTCTGAAGTCTACATAGTTTATACCTTCAGGAAGAGGATTCTCACTTCTCCTAGAAAAGCCTGCAATGATTTTCTGTTTATATGGAAGGCACTACTTAAAGAAGTTCTACTTTCTCTGTGTTTTCCTCTAGGTCACAGCTAGTTTAAGTTCTGCGAGTAAGAACTGACCATTTTCAAAAAAATCTGTATTAACAGTAATTACTGTTGATCTGTCTGTGCTTCTTTGTCTTCATCAGAGAATGAACAGACAGGCTAACTACAAAGGTACAGTCTCAGAATCAGCTAAATAATTTCTACTGTAAAACAAAAAATAATGCTGGCCCTTCAACTACAGGAAGGAGGAAACTGTCACATTTCTTCGAAGATACCAGCTGCATTAGGGACACCTAGATCTGATACCATTTTTGAGTACAAGACTTAACACCTTACTTTTAGTTCTCACGCTACCAAACCCCTGAACTAGGACCTGCACAGGGGCTTTGTCAGCTATGCAGTTATTCAGCACAAAAGAAAAACGATCCTAGATACATCGTTAGCCACCAATTCAGAGGAAGCACAGAGAGAGTGAGGTTAAGCACGTGTACACTGACATCTGGTGGCAAAAAGGCCTTTCAGTGTGCTGAAGGCCTCCCACATCCAAGAGAGTCGGTCGCAATGGGTAACACCAGGTTTCTTAAACACTGGATTTTTTGAATCTCACTCATTTGCGTACGCTACGCAGCATGAAGAATTATTTGCTCTGATTTCTGGACATCACCTCTATTTGTGCCGATAATCAGTCTAGAACCCACACGCTGAACAGATAACAGGTACCACCAGAAACGAAAAATGTTTGTCTGCAACTTATTTTACCAATCACCTCATAATTCTCAGCTGGCTCCTGATGACATCATTTAAACCATACAGCACCTGAAGTTAGAGGAACAATACACCTCTTTTAGACTGCACGGTCAGCAGTCATATGCAAAGTAGCATTACTATACTTCTAAGTGTTCATACTAGTCCCAAGACAGTTTGATACCAGCTATTAAACGGACCATAAGTAAAAAGTTAAATCTGCTCAAATTTGTATTTGCAAACTTTTGTGAATATTTTCTTATTTTAGGCATAAAGCTGAAAGAGCCCACGTCTCCCCAAATGTCAAGTCCCACCAGACACTGTGTTCCAATTTCAGTGTTAGAAAGTTATTCCAAGTCCACATGAAAAGCAGAATGAGAAGGTGGTTGCTTTTTAGTATGCTGACTTATATGTGACAACAGCTTCTGTGAAAGAGCTAATTTTCCACTTCATTTGTAAACAAACTAAACTGACACAATCTACTAGATGGCTACTACCAGCTTGCGTTTCCCCAGGCATGCCTCATTTCTTCCAAGCTTCACTAACAGATAACCAATATCAAAACAGAGACAAAAATATCCTAAAGTATTTAGATTCAATGTTATTTTTCTTAGAGGCTAGACAGACACCATGTTTCGTAATGCCTTTCTAGGGTAAAGTATGTGACAAAATGTTGATGACTTCAGCAAGAAGTTTTAAAATAGAAATGCCTGTAAAAACGGATTTTCTGAAATTGGGGGAAGATTAAAGCCATGCTGTCCAAAGGCTATCAGTCCTTATTTGTGCTGTGCAGAAAACAAGCACAAGTTTGCTGGAGAATCTGAGACACTTCTGACATGTCAGAATCCAAGATAAACTTCTCCTCAGAGTGTTCATGGGAGGAGATTATGGATTCGTTTGTTTTTAATCACACTTGCTGTAGTAATAGCCTGAATGGAAGTACATTTCCAAGCTCAGACATGTGAGTGAAAAGAAACTGGAATATAAGAATTTTATTATCCCACTCAGCTAAAAATTCCAGAGCTTCTGTACAGTCATTAAAAAAATCACAGTACATGAAGCCTCCAAAAGCTGGGAGGTATGCTAGCTTATATATATCAGCATGCATATTAAGCTGCAGCCTGTCCAGAACACTACAGCTTCAGACATAATGACCTTTTGGGTCTTCTGTATTTCTCTTATGATGACATATCAGCAGAAGTAGGTGAAGTAAATACTCAAAACGGCTGAAAGCAAAATGATTCTGCTTTTCCTTTCATTCACTTTACCTGAACAAAAGTTTGAGAACTCAAGATTTGCAGCGAGGCATAATTTCAAATTGCATTCTGAATACCTATTGTTCAGTCTCCATTAGTTTAGGTCTACTTCACTGCTTAACCAGTAGGTGCTTCATTTATTCTTTTAAATGCAGTAACACCAGGAATAGCAAAAAACATTATGCTCAGGAAGGCAAGCACTTCTTTGTACAATGAGGGGCCCATGGTCTTGCCTTGCCCGATGGCAATCATCATAAGCAGGAAACATTCTTTACCTCATCCTTTGGTGACAGAAGAAAGGTTTATGGATCTTAAGCCTTAGATTACACTCCTCATTATGCTCTATATAAACAATACAGGTTCCTATCTCTATTTTAATCTGAAAACTTGCTGATGTTCTGTGTTCTCCCACCCAGCCAACTCCTTAATCCACACTCTAGCTCCAACACCAGTTCAGATCAAAGTTGGGGTTGTTGGTTGGTGGGTTGTTTTTTGGTTTTGTTTGGAGTTTTTTTGTTTGTGTTTTTTAAATCAGTGAGCTAAAGTGAGCCAGAAAGACAAAAAAAGATTAGGACATCCATTTCCTTCAATGCCAGGATCCAGAGAATGCATCAAAGTCATCAGTTTAGGGAATCCACATTTTGTGTCTACACATGTATGATCAAACTTTTTTTGGTTGATTGATGTTCTGAATTATATCTTCCTGCCTTCCTCAAGATGCTTTATCCCATGGAATACCACATGCTAAGGGGTTAATGAGGCTGCTTTTGGGCACATCTTTAATATGCATGACACCTAAGCAATTTAATACCTGTCATTCAATTAATGTGGTCCTGCAATGTATCTTTAGCAGAATACTATTCATTATAAGATACACCCATTCATCTTTGATAAGCAGCTCAAGGCTCAAGTCAGTTCTCATAGAAAAGAATTTACTGTTTGTGCAAGACAAATCTTAGAGCAGGAATATACAAGTGTCTCCCCCAAGGTTACTTGCAGCCTTGAAGGATTTGAAAGTGATGAAATTTCATTATGAATTTATGCCTTGGCATTGTTATTTTTAAAGGCTACCTTAATTCTCCATCAACAGCAGCTGGAGTGATGTAAAACATCCAGTCTCCTCCTCTCTCTTTATAACCTTCAGTGAGTTGTCAAATGAACACCCTTAGTTCTGAATGGCCATCCAAAAGACCCAGCTGATCAAGCTTATGTGGTTATAAGCTACACTTTTGACTAGGTCAAACCAAAAAGTCTTTGATTCTTTACATTAGTGCTGGTTAACAAAGACAACCGTACTTTCTTTTCAGAAGAATGCTCATACTGCCTTCTGATGTGCTTAAGGGAACAGTAAGGAATTTGATAGAGATTAAGTTTCTTGCCTGTTACTGACTCAAAAATAGGGAA